CGCCCCTCCCCCCGGTCAAAGGTGTCCCTCTTTACCAATCTGAAAATCTGGTCACCTTAATTTTATCAGGCAAACCACACAGATGTAAACTATAAAGTGATTTAATACGTTTGCATAATACCCTATGGGGAACTTATATTTATTTAGCCAGAAGACCAGCTGATTACAATTAAAATTTTAATTCAATAATTATATTATAGAATAGATAATGTAGGAAATTTATTGTTTCTGACATACATATTTTAGAAACAAACTTCTCCTACGATTGCTAAAAGCGCTTCTCTCTTATCTCTTCTACATACTGGCTCTGCTTCTGAGCCTTCCCCTTCTCTCCCCAGCTGGTCTGGGAGGCTCCTCCTCGGGATTCCCGATTTCTATCCAAGTTCTGCCCACTTTGCTTTTAAGGAAGTATCGCGTTAACTCTTTCTTTGCATTTCCCGCTATCTTCCGTTTCCTTGCAAGGTTCAGCACAGTATGTGAACCTGGACGTGCTCTTTAAAGACTCTGGATTTCTTCGTGCGCCAACATATTCTAACCAGGGAAGGGGAAAGAAGAGCGTAGGAAATAAAATTATACTCAGTGGTGCGTTAAAAGAAAGCCAACAAGTAAAGTCTCCAAAGTTGTCGCTCTACACTTTTTCCTATCTCTATGTTCTTTGCGCGCTCTCGCTCTTTCTCTCTTTTTGCCCGTCTTTTCAGGCTGGCCGCGGACGAAGGTGGCTGCGAAGATGTTGTCGGTGCTGCCCAAAGTGGAGCAGCTGTCGACGCGTGTGATCCGCGTCCTAGGCTGTAACCCGGGGCCCATGACTCTCCAGGGGACCAACACCTACTTGGTGGGAACCGGGCCCAGGTAGGTGGGAAGCAGCTCGGGCAAGGGACAGGTGCCGCTCCCTCGGATCTGTTGGCTCGGGGGCTCCCGTGGGTAAAGCGCTTTCTTCGCATGAGCCTTCCGTTCCGTTTAGCAAAGCGAGACTTGAGGGCTGCCCGGGAATTCCTAGTGCGACCTGCTTTTCACGCGCTGCTCTGAGTATTAATTCATACGATTCCTCTTTATTGTACAGGTAGTACTGGGATAGCTTGGTGGCGGGAGAAGGCAAATCCATAAACATTTGGGGGCGGTGGAGACAGCGCTAACCGTATTATTCTATGCATGTAATTAAAGTCGCCTTTGGAGCAGATGAACGGCACACAAATCTAGTAAATAAATAAATGTAAAAGCCATGAATGAATTTAGGAGCGTTTCAATGCGATCTTCTCTATTCAGAAATCCTATTTTAACTCCAGGGTCTTACTCCCCTAGAAGTGCAGGCTTGGGACTCTTCCATTGCTGTATTGAAAGTGCTGTTCTCCAGTCTTTAAGCTCAGGGAAATTTGTAAACATCTATTCGGCTTCATTGACAAAGCCTGTAAGTGGTGCTGTTTGCCGGACAAGTTAAGAAAAACACTCTACTTTTGCCTTTCCATAGATTAAAGTGTCTCAAACTTGACAACCTTTAAGATTTGTTAGCAGCAATTGTCAAGGTCAGCTTTTTTATAAACATGTTTGTGTGTGTGTGTTTTTTAATCACTTTTAATTTGTTTTGCTATTCCCTTTTCCCTTGTAGGTTAGTTGGTGTTTTAATGTTTGACTTTGAAATTTAGCAACTTAAAAAAAAGAAGAAGAAGCACTGCCTTAGGGGGAAACCCGCCAATGAGTCTCCTTAATGCTTAATGGGGACTGACTGGACAAGTGCAGGCAGATTCTTTTAGTCAAGTTGCTCAACTAAGAGATTGCAGGCACAGAAGAGATGCACATCTATGAGGACTTGGTTGGGCTGTTTCTGAATATGAACCTCACAATCTTTTGAAAGGGTGCTAATCCCATGTCAGAAAATACCATGATTGAGAGATTGCAGGTGTAGAGGACAGGCCATGTTTAGAAATACCCAAAGTGACTCTAAATTACAGGAAGTCTTCAACTTGCCATCATTTATTTAATGCCCCTTGTAAGTCAGCACTGAAAAAGGTGACCTGTGAGTGTTTTTTGGTCTTACAACCATTGCCACCTCTCTGTGGTCATGTGATCAAAATTTTGATGCTTGGTAATCTGACTGACTACATACACCTATGTAATGGATATAAAATGTAATTGTCACTAGTCACTATATGGAAATGTTTATGCCAGAAATGTCCCACTATGTCCAATGTTTTTAATGTTTATCTAATAAAAAACTTTATTTAAAAAAAATTGGATGCTTGGCAACAGATTCATATTTATGACGGTTGCAGAGTTGCAGGGTCATGTGATACCTTTTGCCATCTTCTGACAGGCAAAGTCAGTGAGGAAGCCATATTCATTTAACAACTTTGTTACTAATTTAACGACTGCAGTAATTCACTTAACAACTGTGACTCCCCGACAGGATCCGGATTGGAGTTGCCTTATTTTATATGGATCTGTAAGGCTTGGCTTTGCCTGCCAGCGTCCACTCCCCCTCCATAGCCCAAGTGGTTGGATTCACATGACATGTGAAGCTAGGCAGTAGGGCATAGACAGATAGATGAGAGAGAGAGGGAGAGAGAGAGAGAGAGACATACAGAGAGATATACTCCTTTCCCTCAGAAAATAAAACACCGGGAGCCACAAAATCTGGATAGGCATGGCTGGGGGGCGGGGGCATCTTACTGGATAGGAGTGTGGAATCAAGTTGGCCCATCCACCCCCTTCCAGATTTTGTGGCTCCCAGTGTTTTCTGTGGGAAATGGGTCCAAATGTCTCTGAGTGTTTAAGGTTGTAGAGCCCTGCTCTAAACCTAAAGCCTGGTGCTTTCAGAATTACACTAGTAAACTTATATAAATAAGGAGCGTAGGTAACACTGACAAATACTTTAGAAAGAGCAAGTTAGCCATTATATGGGAGAATGCTGATCAAGTGACTGGAGTAGGGCCATTCCCCATGGACCAAGGGGAAGGAGTGAACCCATGAGGGAAGGACTAATCCCTTCCCAGATCAATCAAAAAGTCAATGAAGCATGCTAAATCATATTCACCGCGAAAATTGTGTCGAATTTAAAACTGGAATAACTAGGTAAATTTTGGTTTCCTTTATTGCAGGATAAATGAAATAAAGGCAGTCTCAGGCAATATGCTATTTTAAAGCAGCTAGACCTCATGATGATTGCTATCTAGGGAACATGTCTGGATCGTCTACAGAGCCCAATCTGGAATCTTGGCTATTACAATTTAGTTCTCCTCTTAGGCAATATAAGTCTTACTTGGAATCTCATTCAGCTTGTCAATTTTTATTTTGTTCTTGCTCTCATCTAACTTTTCCCCTTCTGTGGACAAATTTCTCTTTATTACATTTTTATTGGATCATATTGGATCCATTTTGTTATAAAGTATCTTTTGTTCACTGGATTAGATTTATAGACCAAATGATTTTTTTACTATTATCTCTTTTCTCATAGTATTATTATGAGAGTAGACTAGAGTAGAATAGAATAGAATAGAATAACAGAGTTGGAAGGGACCTTGGAGGTCTTTTAGTCTAACCCCCTGCTTAGGCAGGAAACCTTACACCACTTCAGACAAATGGTTATCCAACATCTTCTAAAAACTTCCAGTGTTGGAGCATTCACAACTTTGCAACAGCATCCCACTTGAAACGTTTATGGCTCCAGCTTTACTGGGTTTAGAAAGGCAACGCAATCTTGCTTTAAGAGTAGATGTGTCCTTAAATATTTTTCTTTTGGGTATTTGAACAAGTGTACTTATTTTTCCTGATATGGAATTTTATTTATTAAATTTATATGCTACCCATCTCACTATCAAGTGACTCTGGGTGCCTATTTTTCATATAAAATAACGTATATAAGCTGCTCAGTGAAAACTGGAATGGGCTATATGACCAATCTGATTTATTGATTTGCATCTCCTATAATTTTCTTTAGGATTATGAATTACCCAAAAGAATTGAGATATGGAAATAGAACGTAGAATCATAGGGCTGGAAGGGACCTTGGAGGTCTTTTAGTCCAGCCCACTTCTCAAGGCAGGAGTCTTATACCATCTCAGGCAAATGGTTGTCCAAGCAATTTTTGAAAACCTCCAGTGATGGAGCATCCACAACTCTAGGAGGCAGGGTATTCCATTAATTAATTGCTGTTATATTTCTTTTCATGTCACATTACACTTTTTTAACCTGGATCAAAAGGTTGCTAGCATCATTTTTTATTAATTACCCCTTTCTTGGCCTAATTATTATAGAAGGATCCTAATAGATACTGGAGAGCCATCTATCCCTGAATATATAAGCTGTTTGAAAAAAACACTCCATGAATTCAACATTTCCATCCAGGAAATTTTAGTAACTCACTGGCACCATGATCACACTGGAGGCATATCCGATATTTGTGAAAATATTCCAGCCAGTAAGTATTTTCTTCAGTTTTTAAAATTTGCAAACTTTGTATACAAAGCAGGTTAGAGGTATATAGAAAATGTTATATACTAGACAAGCAAAGAAGGAAGGACGTCAGAAACATTGGACTTACAGACTGTTGTCTGTAGACATGGTGGAGAATAATTAATCAGTTGTTAATATGCTTAGCCAAAATTAAAACTGGCAAAAATCAGGTACAGGTAATTTAGAACCATTTGTTTAATAACTTTTCAAAGTTAAAACAGCACTGAAAAGGTGATTTTTGGGATTTGCTTAACAACTATGTGATTCAATTAACAACTATAATGCTTTGCTTAACAATTGTGGCAAAAAGGACACATTAAGTGTAACTCACTTAACAACCATTTTGGTTAGCAACATAAATTATGGTCTCAATTTTGGTCATAAATTGAGACTACCTGTATTATAAAACTATAACATTTGCCATTCTGTTAAACTGAGAAATTTATCTTAAATAAATTTGCCTGACTTTTGCAAAATCAGTTCTTCATATTTACTCATAAAAATTGAAGATGCCATCTTCTTTCTCTGCTGATTTGGGAAGACACTGATAATTATACTAGCTTATATCTGATTACCCATTTGCATCAGTTTTGTGGATTTAAGTATACAAAAATTAGTTAAAATAAATATTAGTTAAAACTTTCACTGATTTTTTTTGAATGTAGAAATTCAAACATTTATTTTAAATAGAAGGACTTTTATCTCAAAGTATGTGTATGATCTATTTTTCTTTAAAAGTAAGGACCAACCTAAATTACATTATCACTAGGGTGAGCTGAATGATCTCCCAAACACTAAAACAAGGGTTCTTCCCAACTGTATTGGCTTTGTTCAAGTTAAGCTACTCCAAAATCCTGCAGAAATGGATCTTTTCAAATCTCTTCATGAGAGGAGGAAATGGAGCTTCTTTGCAAAATAAAGAACATTGATTGTTTTAATATTTGCATGCATGTTTGCTAATATGGATTTTAACAATTATTTCATTAGAACCAGTTAAGGTTGTAGAATTTGATATTCCAAAAAAGAAACGTTTGTTTGTTTGTTTGTTTGTCTAGTAAAGGACTTGCTAGACTGTAGTGAGGCTGTTATCACAATTATTTGAATAATAGGCAGCATGCATAGCATAGAACATATATTCTGCCTTGATTAATCTGCACTTGTATAATAACATAAATCCATTTTATTTTTAAAAAAATCATTAAAAAGAAAACACTAATAACATGAAGCAACCTTGTAAATGCATTACCTGTTTCCAAAATTTGAAATCATTTGGAGTTATTTTATGTTGGTTTAAGATCAGAGATAGTCATAAGTTCCACAAGTCTCAGTTCTGATTTCATGTAGAAATACTATTTTTTTTAAAAAGGGGTATATGAATTTCCAACTAAATTCTGGTATGACGCATTGTTTAATTTTTAAATTAGGTTATGAATATTGCATAAGCAAGCTTCCACGTAATCCACATCAAGAAGAAATAATAAAAGGAAAGCAGAAGTATGCGTACTTAAGAGATGGAGATGTTTTAAACACAGAGGGAGCTACTCTCAGGTAAATGTAAACATTTCATATTGCTCTTTGCAACTTTTTCATGTACAAATTTTTTTTTCAGTTCATTTACAGTTCATTTTTATCATTTCAGAACTAAAAAGGCTTGTGAGATTAGTTAAGATAGATTATATGTTTTGCCTAGCCTTTAATGAATAGGGGGTGTGATGGCTCAGCAATTAAAAAGGTTGAATCTGTGAGCTGGAAAGCTAAGAGACCAGGTTTGAGACCTGAGCACCACATGAATGGGTGAGCTCCTATTATCTGCCCCAGCTTCTGCCCATCCAGCAATTTGAAAACATGCAAATGCAAGTTGATAAATAGCTACCACTTCAGTGGGAAGTAGCCGCATTCCGTGAGCCTTGGCATATAGTGGCCAAGCAACCACAGAGTGTCTTCAGACAGTGGTGGTTCCCTTTTAGGAAACGGAGATGAGCACTGCCCCATAGAGTGGAAAATGATTGTACAGGGAAAACCTTTATCTTTAATGCATACAGTACATATATTTATCTCTGTAATATTGACTATTCTTACTAGTTTCTGATAATATTTTCTGCACAATATTCAAAAGAAATTTCTTCAAAACCCTAACCTGGGTTTCCGTCTATGTGTATGCTCAGGCTCCAATATCTTTAAGTGATGTTCTTTTCTCAGTATAATTAGTCTGCGACATAGGACCACAAATGAATCACCGCAGTTAGTAACAGGGCTGTTAATTGAATCTGGCTTTCCGCATTGACTTTACTTATCTGAAGATGGCAAAAAGTGGTCACACAATGCAACTGTTATAAACATGTGTCAGTTGCCAAGCAGCTGAATTTTGGTCACATGACCATGGGAGAGGCTACAATGGCCAGAAGTGTGAAAAACAGTCATAAGTCACTTTTTTTTCAGTGCTGTTGTAACTTCGAACAATCACTAAATGAACTGCTATAAATCAAGGACTACCTGTATACATGGTAGGGGTACACAGGTTTCTGTGCTTCTGGTGGATGGCAATTTGCATAAAATTATTCATGGTTGATTTTTATTTTTTTATTTTTGGAATGACTTTATCTCCTTGTTTCTGCCTTTATCTGCTTTGGTTTCTTTAGGAAATTTATCTTAAGCTAGAGGTAAGTTAAAGTTTGTCCTTATTTTAAAAATACTTTTACAAAGAAAAATTTGCTCATACCTCTGCTTCCACACAGTATACGGATCATTCATTTAAATTTTGGATCTGAGCTTTTTAAAAATATCTTCATTTGCCACTGTTAGAACTTTCTTCAATTTGAAGAACTTGAAGAACAACTTGAATATTACAATCACATTTCACTTCTCTGTCACACTGCAGGGTATTGTATACCCCAGGACATACAGATGACCACATGGCTTTACATCTGGTAGAAGAAAATGCAATATTTTCTGGTGATTGTATTTTAGGAGAAGGAACAACAGTGTTTGAAGACCTTTATGACTACATGAAGTCATTGGAAAAACTTCTGGGTATAAAAGCTGATTTAATATACCCAGGTAAGTTATACATTTGATATTGTGTTAGCTCTTTGCCACAAGTATAATTATTTTAAGTGTCTCAAACGCTGCATTGCGGCCTAGAGGTTTTTTATCTCAATGTTTTGTAATCATGAATACTGTGGAAATAGGAATGAGTGTCTCTTATTGATTTCTGTTTGCAAAATATTTTGTATTTTTTCTTTCTCCATAAGAAACTATTCTATGCTAAAATGTTCCAGCTTTCAGACTCTCTCACCTTGTAAATCTACATCTGGAGCTTCATAGAAAGTGGTCCCTGTGGGAGGAGAGTTCAGATGTTTTTTATTTAAATAAAACACTATTTCTGTTTCATTTTGCTTTAGACTATAGTAATATAATTTGTTGTTTCCTTTCTAGTAAATGAAATGTATCCTTTATTTACTGAACTTGTAAAAAGTCCTTCGGCTGCTAAAATGTCTGTTTTTTACACTCATTCTCTCTGTCTTTGCCCATCTCCCCAATTCCCCATAAGGACAACTATTCAGAATTCAGGACCTCCAAACTAATCTATGAAAGAAATCATGGAACTGGAATATCACAATAATACTTAAGCCAAAAGTCTTCTCAGATTCAACCTGCTGTTTAGGGATGTAACAAATTGAACGTATTTTACAATACATACATTTAATGTATTTATTTATCCTGTATTTTTCTCTGGGAATGCAAGATGGTCCAGGTGGAGTAGAAGTTCTCCATTCTATCCCCATACCTATTATTATGAAATGTAGATGGAACCAAAGCCATAGGTAACAGCATTGGCTTCATATTCATCAAAGACTTGAACTTGTAATTTTTTCATTCCATCCAGCATTTTTATCACAATTCTCATTTTTTTGTTTACATAATATATAGACCACCAGATTCCCAATGACTGTGGGTGGCTTACAATTAAAAATGTTTTTAGATAGAAGACTCTTGAGTAGCCAAAAATTACATAAAATCGGGGGGGGGGGGGAACACCCATCTAGCAGGNGTGTCTGTGGGGGGAAATATAGTTAGGATAGATCAAATAATAAATGTATAAGAATGATAAATGTTAAAATACTTGTAACCAAACGACATGCTATATGTGATGATGGCTTTTTTTTCAGTTTTGTTTTTTATTTTTGTTGTTGTCTTTTTTTTTCTTTCCATTGTTGTGGATATGTGTTGTCCATGTAACAAAAAATTATTTAAAAAAATAATTAAAAATATATATATATTTTTCCTATGCTAGATTATCCTGAACTATTAGAGTGCAACTTCTAAAATAGATCATTGCTTACAATCTGAAAGAAAAAACAAGCAAGGAAAAGATACAGGGAAAAGGCCAGTGGAAAATGTCAATGTTTGTCCTCTAAAATCACCTCCCCTAATCAGAGAGTTCTCCAAATACGTACACGTCAGCTCCCAAGATAGTAGGTACTGCGGACAATTCTGCAGATCAAAGTCCACATATTTGGAGGGCAATGAAAGCTATTATAAAACTCCTTTCAAGTTGGCCCTCTACTGGAAACTGAATAAGCCCAAACTGTTTTGCTTCACAAGTTCTAAGTTTAAACTTTTGCACGCTAAGGATGCTAGTCTAGTCTATTCATGTGTTTTCAGTTGGATTCCTATACAAATGAGATTCAATTCTTATCCTGGATCTTAACTATTTATTTTCCGATGATAGTCATATCTGTAATGACTTTTTGCATCTTTTCTGAAACCCAAAGTAAGGCAGGCTGGGATTTTTATTTGAAATTTTCCTGTAAGATTCACTTTCAAACAATATCAAGTCGACAAAAAGTTAACAGAAGAATTGTAGGCATTTTTTTTTTGTAAAACCTGTTGCTCAATAAAAGGAAAAGAGAAGAACATATTGTGTTAGGTGAATATTAGAGCCGGATTCCTCTAGATATGTTCAGAGTACAACGGGTAAACGACAATGAGGGCGACTTCACCTTCAGCAGACAGACAATCAAAACCACTCCGGAGGCGCGCGCTTCTCCGCAAGCACAGCCTTTTTGTGATTGGCTAACGCTCGTCCTGAACGTTCAAGTGACGCGCGAAGTAAAGGGCCACCCACTTTCTCTACCGTTTACGCCCCCAAGCTTTCTCAGCTGCCTCGTCACGTCTTTGCCACCGCCAATCAGCTGCGAGTTTCGAATTTTGTCCGCCTATCCGAAAGGGGGTGCTGTCGCACATTCCCTGCGACTAAGCCACAGGGAGCGAGTTCCCTCCGTTCGCGCTGAGGGGCAGGAAACGACGAGTGGCGGTTTTTTGCCCGAGGCTGGAGCTAGAGAGTCGCCCCGAAAAGGCGGAGGCGAAGTTGGGCGGAGCGGCTGCCTGAGCTTTCTTCTTGTCGGGCCCCGCCGCGGACACACGAGGGGACGGAGGGAGAGGCCACTGAGCAGGGGCCGAGGAGGGTCTCGCCATGGCGATCCGCAAGAAGACTAACAAGAACCCTCCCGTGCTCAGCCACGAGTTCGTCGTGCAGAACCATGCGGACATCGTCTCTTGCATGGCCATGGTCTTCCTGCTGGGGCTCATGTTCGAGGTGAGAGGCGGGAGAAGGCAAAGAAGCCGCGAGACCTCCGTGGGGTTGCCGGACACCCGATAGGAAGGGCCGGGCGGAGGGTAGCGGGGATGATGTTTCAGAGAGACACGGACGTAGGGGACCGAATGGGAATGGTTAACACCAGGAAAGCCAGAACTGATTTCTAGTCGCAGGGCGTGAGCCTTTTAATGCCTCGGTTGCCGCGTCTCCTGCCGCTGCAGGGGGTGGGGTAAATGCAGTGCCGGAATCGGTGTACGTGTTAAAGATACCCAAGTCTGTGAACATATGGATGGATGCCCCGTACTACAAACTGCTTGGCTGATTAGGAGGAGGAAAGCGATCGTCTCTTGCTCGCAAAACTACCGTAGTCGCTAGTACAGAGGAAGATAACAGGAGTAAGAATATGCATGAATAAGAGCACAGGAAATTGGCACAAATAAATGGGGACATTAGGACAGGGACGTTAAGCACGCTGGTGCAATTGTATTATAATACCTTGTATTATTGCCTGCTCTTGTCTGAAAAGAAGGAGGGCAGGTAGAGCTGTGCATAGTAATGACAGCAGCGAGATGATGCCAAGAGCGTCTAGCAACTCAAAGGTGCAACCACCTGCCGGCGGGAGCGCTGGTCCCTTCTCCACAGATACGGCCGGTGGGGTCCTTGTCCCTATTGGCTCATCAGACCGTTAGTCCCTCGTCCAACAGGGTCTCCCACCCATTGCATCGTCTCAGTGGAGCGTCTTCTGGCAGCTGCAGCGTCCTGGCGCAGCCGGGCTTAAAATACAACGCTGAAAGGCCGTTCTCACTCGTTTTTATTTTACGCCCCTTTCCTGAGAAATCAAATTGAACCGAAGGGGTTTCGAAGCAAGCGTGTGCAGCAGCAGCGACTGACGATGCTGAGCTGCCCGAAACTGTCAGGGGAGAAGGAAAAAGAAAAGAGAGTTGCATGTTTTGGGAGACGGAGCTGCGCCCCGCACGCTTCGTTCCAGCGCGGGAGTTCCTGGTCTCGGATAGGTTACGTGGCACTCGGAGCAAGAGCTCGGTGTCGGGGCGGGGGGGAGTTGGCCGCCTCTGTGATTTCGGGGCGGGAAGGGCCGGCAGGGTTGGGGCGAGGGGGGGAGGCTGGAAGGCGAGGCGTCTCCCATTGCCGAAGCTGGCGGGAGGAGGAGGAGTGAGGGGAGGGAAGACTGCCTTTTGTGTGTAGCTGGAGAACTACAAACCCCATGGGGCGTTGCGGCAAGCGACTCCTCCCCTCCGCTTCGGAAAAGAAGTAATGGCTGGTGACGTGTGCAGAGAGCCGTCCGCGGTGNTTTTAACATTTTCTAATGGTGGTGTGCCTCGGGATTTTTTTCATGAAAAAAGTGTGCCTTTGCACAAAAAAGGTTGAAAAACACTGCTGTACACACTATTAATTAGTAAGTTCTCCCAGAATTTTTTGTTAATGAAACATCAGTTGTTGTCTTTATAGGACATGGGCCAGTAATAAAAGAAGCAAGAGCTAAAATTCAAGAATATATTTTACATAGAAATGCACGTGAGCAGCAAATCCTACACATCCTGGATGAGAATGCTGGGAAATCTCTCACAGCAAAGGAACTTGTGAAAATCGTTTACAAGGTACAGATGGCATCTGGTTTGGGTTAAAAATAGGTTTCAGTTATGCAGAATGCAATACAATATAAAAGAAATTAATGATTCATAGCAAGAACAACATTTATCTAAAGAACACCATGTATGTGTACTTGCTTTCAGAAACCAGAAAGAAATATACATTGTACCAGGTTGTATGCTGGAAAGTACATAGTATTAATACAAAAATATTAAGATTATCATGCTTTCTTCATATTTTAAATAGCTCTTCCAAAATTGGACACATTTTTTTGTAAAATCCGCTAATGTTTTTTCCACTAGTTTTCTTCTTTTAAAAAAATAACTTCAACTAAAGTAGAACAAGAACAAAAACACTATTTCTTGAATGCCTCAAACTGCTTCTAGCTTGAAGAAATTCTTCCAGACACTATCAAATTAATCAATTTCACTGTGGTCTAGAAGGAGGTTCACCAGGGCCATGGGGGAGGGGACCACGGGGGTGGGGCATGAAATGTTCCTAAGTTCTACAGAATGTTCTGCCCCAGAGTCAGTGAGTTCCCTATATCCCTATTATCTTTTTTGCAAAGAATCACTCAAAATAAGAGAAGCGTCTTCTCTGTAGCAACATTTGCCCTCTGGAATGAGATTCCCTTTACGATATATGAATGTTCCCGCCCCATTTTACTGGTGTTCCAAAGGGCCTTGAAGACTTGGCTCATTGCCAAGGACATTCAAATGTGTGATGAACACCCCCCCCCCTTTTTTTTTAGTTTCTATCTGGATGTATTATCTCTATCAGCTTTTGATTTGTGTTGTTTTCAGGGTTTAGTTGTAAGATTGTATTAGGAGAATAATTACCACTCAGAATTCTATGAAACAAATTTTACGAATTTTCCTCTGCACTATGAAGTTGAGGATAAATGTCTAGTAAAAACTCATGTGATGACCTAGAACCGTGATGGCAAACCTATGGTGGCACACAGCACCCTCTCTGATGGTATGCAAGCTGTCACCTCAGTTCAACTCCACTACACATGTGCATATGCTTCCTAACAGCCAGCTAGTCTTCAGGTCTCTTCTGCATATGCGGGGGGTGGGGAACATGCGGGAGGGACTTGCACGGGGGTGGGACATGTTGAAGGCTCTCATGTGCATGCGCAGGGGTTGAGGGTGTGCACAGAGTTGCACACAAATGTGAGGGGGTGCACGCATTGTATTTGGGGGGGTGGGCGGTCTGGGCACTCCAACTGGAAAAGGTTAGTCATCACTGACCTAGAAAAAGTAAAGTTCTTCAGAGAAAATGTATAAGATTCATGATACAGCTAAACAATTCCCCCTCCCCCAATTAAAATAGGAATTGATTGGACAATTTCTGCTATTTGCATAAAAATCCTGTAAAGTGTTTTAATCCATACCAAATTTGAGATCTGGTAACTGTTTTACTTTTTTAAAAAATGAAGTTTCATTAATATGCATTGTTGGAATGCTTTATTCCAGGACACACCTGTTCATTTGCATTTAGCTGCGGAAATAAATCTCTCACATCACTTGAAGAAGCTAGAAAAAGAAGGGAAAGTTGGTAAGTAACTTCACTGTTTATATATAACAATTACATTGTTGGATACTGAATGATGAAAGGAAGATAAAATTTCAAGTCCTCACACTTACGCGAATCAAATTCACATGATGTCTTACTTAACAACTCTGTCACTTAGCAATGGAATTTGTCAGTCCCAATTGTGGTGGTTAAGATTATTTATATATTTTTATGTGATGAAAAAAATAATGTGTTAAAAATATTATAAAGGTGATTAAAAGAATGACTAAAACTACCTGACAAAATGCTCCTCAGCATATCATCATCAGAAAATATAAAAATTACATGGATTTCATGATTTTTAATGTATCTTTTTAAAATGTAGTTAATATGTATATGCACCTAAGTGTTTTAAAATGAATATTTTAGATATTATCACTTAGGGCATTAAAAGTAGTTTTACTGATTAGGTTATTTATATGATCCTTCTTTCTGTTACAGTACATGAAAATTCTCCTAACTTCAAGTGGAAAAGTGTTTTATAAATATGGCATATACACAGGTTTGACAAATGTGCTCTTCTATTTTCTGAACTAAAACACCCTTTTTAATATCAAAATTGCATATAAATCACATACACAAATGGATCTGTATTTTGTTATTAATCTGATTAAATAATAATTTGTCAGAGAGCGATTGGAAGAATCATTCAGGGTGGAACAAGTGGATTATTTATTTCAAAGCAAAATATTCAAAATTTTCTTTGGATACTTGAATACTTTTGTAAAGAGGTTTGGTTCAAGGAATGTTATTAATTAAATTTGTAAGCTGCCTTATTCTCAGCAATATGAAGACTTAAGCTTATTTCTTTATTTAAACATTGTAATTTCATTGCCTCTATGTTATTTGTATAATAAATATAATAACCTTAAGTAATTTTGTTCACATGTAGTTGTCTTCCTTTTTTATATATTGTCATCATTATATACTTTTTCATGATCTTTTTTAACTTAACTGGAAAAAGACTAAAATCCTATAGAATAGAATTTCTATATATTAGTGAACGCTGGCAATATAATATTTAATCTCATTTTAAATACAGTTGAATGAAAGTATGAAATGTTCAGATCTGAACTATGTTTGTCTGCAAATTCCAAATTTGAATGTTATTACGGTAATCATAAAATTCTGTGCATCTTCAAAAAAAGCATAAAAAGCATGGTGGCTGGATATAGGCAAAGATAAAATCATAAAATTATAAAATTATATAAAGGAATAAAAAATGATATTAAAAGCACAAGACACAAGAATTAAAATTTATATTCCTAACGAGAATTTTTGACATTTCTTCGGAAGCATCTTTTTTCCCGTTTCAATTTTCCTGTATTCCTATCTTTTTGGAAACTTCAAAGGTACGGTCGAGCAATGTTAAAGCCCTCACTTTTATATCTTCATGACAATAACCTCTACTTCCATTATTACAAAGGATCAAACCTTTTGTTATATCTAGCAGGGCAAGGGACTTATGTTCATATCATAGAAAACGTATTTCCCTTATGAATGTGAACTGTCTACATAAACCTGTTTGGCCTACAGTCTGATAAAATGCCTGATCTTGCATTATATTTACATTCATAACAATGGCACTTTTTTTTAATCAATGTAAAAAAATGTGTCTCTGAAGTGTTGATGTATAATTTTCAGCATTCCTTAGTAATAAGAAATGCTGAAAATTGTAGCTCAATAAATTTGGTGAATGCTTTAGGAAAAGCCTGTAAGGCATTAGCACAAGCTGTGTGGTCTTTATATAAGATACAGTGGGGCAAAAAAGTATTTAGTCAGCCACCAATTGTGCAAGTTCTCCCACTTAAAAAGATGAGAGAGGCNTTCGGTATTATTTTGCCAATTTGTGATGAAATAATAGGTTTATCCTGAATAAATTTCTATTAGCTAATTACCGCTTTAAATAAGGCTTTTGTGGTTAAAAATAATAATTTGATAGTACAGTTACCATTAATACAATTATGTTATTTGGACAGCAGTGGTTTATAGGTGATAACTCATTTGCCATGCTGTAGGTATAGTTTCCTTCCAGGTAACTGGTCAAGGAAGTTTACATTCAGTTCTTCCCTTAGCCAGTCATCCTTTATTTTTGATTCGGCCTAGTTCATTATTTTTCAGTCTGTTAAATGTATTTTTTCAGATATATGAAAGAATATTGATGTTCCTGTGATTTACCGTGCAATCACACAGTTTTATTCATACAAATTGTTTTATTGCAGGTTACAGCCAAAGCAGCTGTTGTCTTTGTTACACTTCAGTACAATATTACCATTCCTGTTACAGGTAATCTTCTAATAAAAGTTTGGGTATTTGTCTGCAATATTATTGTATACCAGGAACATATTGTATCTTAAGAGAATGATAACCATATGTGAATTACATACAGAAATAGCAGCAGAAGTGGTGTTAATAATGGTGCTCCAGTAATGACTTAAGATCACAGAAGTGGTTTAGATATATAATCATATGGTTCAATTCTCTATCAGTGCTGTTTGAAAGGCTCTGAGATTTGGAATCTTCCAGTCTTTGCTAAATCCTCCTCTCAGGGATGGAGATATCATCTTTTTCTTCTTGTTTTGTAGAAAATCAGAATTAGTTCTTTCATCAAAATAATAAAATATGATTTGTCTATATTTTTACCTTGTAGTAAGATGGGCAGCCAATAAATTTGATAGGGAGGGAGGGAGATGGATGGATGGATGGATGATAGATAATATAAAGCTCAAATCCACTATTTTATTATAGTTTCTAATTTTGACTTGCACTTAATGTACAAGCATATCTTTTCCAGTTCCAACAAAATGACATATTTTGTATACTACAAATCTAGAAAGAAAAGGTTTTCTAGAAGAGGAAATAAATGTTGCAAAGCTTGTTTACATGGTTTGAAACTATGGTTTGGCATCTGCTTTGCATCCCCTAAAGGAGTATTGCTTGAACTTTCTATAACACAAACTACTAAATGTTCCGAAAAGACATGGGCTTGCTTCCCTTCTCCTTCTTATATCAAAAGAAACCCCGTGATAAGTTTGTTTATAGTCACGTCCTCCATTTTAAAAGAACTTTTAAAACTAACTTTTGTATCAAAAAAAAGTATGTCGAAATGAAGTACTTACTTGTTTACTTGAGCTAAGAAGTGAGCAGACTCTGGCCAACTGCCTGTTAGAGACCTGGTTCAATGCACCATCAGCCAGCTGACCAAGCCAGAGCCCACTTTCTGCTTTCACTCAGCCTGCCTCTTGCATCAGTGGTCAGCCAGACAGCTAATTGCCAGTGAAAAGAGAAGGGCAGATCAAAGGCAGAGGATAGGTGTTGGCAAATCAACTTGGAGATCCCTATGAACCAGCAGTGATCTGTAGATCAGAGTTTAGAAATCACAGCTTAAATTAAATCTTTATGTTTGCTAATGAACTTTTAAATTTAAAATTTGGACAGGAAGATAGTGAAAATCTGAGCAGTCAATATTTTACATTGTTGCCTTGGTGGTTCTTCCTGTACTATTGCTGTTTTGTATTGGCTTGGAATATAGAAATAAAATTAGATATTGCTGATATAAATTGGATGAGGCTGGTTAAAACAAATGCATTCTTAAATATTGTTCTTTTTTCTCTCAGAAAACCAGCCTACAGAAACGGTGACATTATATCATTATGGTATCAAAGATCTGGCTACTGTTTTCTTCTACATGCTAGTGGCAGTAATCATACATGCTGTTATTCAAGAATATGTGTTAGATGTAAGTACTGTTTGTTAGAATAATAACCGGCACTACCACAGTAGAAGTTGACTGATTGAATGCATTGTAAACTTGCATTATGGACTTTTGATATATAGGACAAGTAATTTACTATCTAAACTATCATAACTATCAATAATGAGATAACTTTTTTCTTTAGAAAATTAACAGGCGAATGCACTTTTCCAAAACAAAACACAGTAAATTCAATGAATCTGGACAACTCAGTGCATTTTACCTTTTCTCTTGCGTCTGGGGAACAAGCATCCTTGTGTCGGTGAGTAAGTCAGAGGAAAATATATAATGGGGAGTAAAATAGTTGACTATGATCACACAACTATGTTGCCTTGAAAGTAGTCATCACATCAAAAATGTTTTTTTTTAATAATTCCCTTTTGAGTCATTAGTACTGTTCTATGGTAATGGAATGCTCAAAGTATCAATGTTAAGTTTTCCAGAAGAATTGTAAATACACAGATAGTGCCATTCATTTTATTGCTTGAAAGGAAAGTCAAAGATAAATAATATGCTAATAATGGCTGCACTTATTGGCTGCAATATACAAGTGAAAAGATCCAAGGAAGATCAATACTTTCCTGGGACAATAGATACCAAAGGTTAAAATGCTAAATATGCTGCTAAATGTATAAGTTATCAATTCATTTGTTTATGTGGACTTGTCAGCCAAGATACATTTGTGTCCAGGAAAGGTTCTCAGATAGTTTTATGGTACAACAAGGAGATCACATTTTGTTGAAGTTGTCTTATATTCATCTGGCATTAATTTGAATTTTATGAAATATGTAGTTCATATAAAACTGCTGCTTCTCTTTCTTGAATTTAGAGCACTTTGTTTAAAACAAGGAAATCACAGTTCAGTTTGAGGCTTGCTAAGTCATTTAATTCAGATTTCTATGTCCGTCTTCCATGCTAACCATGCTTAGAAAGAGATTAAGCAACTTCACAGGGCATTGGCTTAATATTTCCTGTTTCTTATTTTCAGGAAAACTATATATCAGATCCAACATCACTCTGGAGAGACTATCCACACACATCAATGCCGTGAGTTATTTTAATTAAGAGTTTAATTCATAATTTCTTCTTTTATCCCACCTGACTTTGTAGTTATAAAAATAATCATCTACTTAATTATGTACAAAGATATCTAGTATTTTCAGGCAAATAACATACATTATTTTATTAGCAATGCATCTATAGTAGTCTTATGTTACCAGTTTTTAGGTGCTCCAAAAATTTCAATTACTCCATTGTAAAAACTTACAATAAAGGTTTTAATATGAAATAATCAGTAAATTTTAATTTTGATTTTTGCATGTTGTATTCTGCAGGTTTCAAATGAAGTTCTTTTATATCTCACAGATGGCATACTGGTTTCATGCCTTTCCAGAATTCTATTTTCAGAAGATAAAAAAAGTAAGATTGCATGTAATATCTTGTCCATAAGCTTACAAATTAAATGCATAAATAATAAATATGGTTATCCTGACAAGAAGAAGCAGAATTTTGTTTATGGGATTTGCAAAGAAAGGTACCTTTGAAATAGAGTTTGCTTGTAATCTGAAAAAATGTCAAGAGAGAATATATAAGGTTTAGATATGTAACTTCAGACTCTTGTGCTCTTGTCCTACTTGCGTATATGGAAGATTTTGCTTCCTGTTTCAGCCAATCCAAATCTGCCTGTCTTTCCCCTACTCTTGCAGCCAGTTCAAGCAGCATCTCATATTGAGAAAAAAACTTCTTGATTAGTTTTAAAGAACCAAGAAATGAACCTTCTATAGTTTCTTCTTCTAAGAGTCTGGTTTAACATTATGATTCTTCCCCACTCTCAAATATTCCCCATATTCAGTTTTGGACTGTTGCAGTAAGATCTGTTACAGTGTGGAACTTAAGTTATAAATTGACCTATCGTGGAACTTTTGTGAGCAGGCAACATCATCATTTATTTTAATAAAACTTATTTCATACAGTACACTGAGACATGAATAAATAAACTGTTACAGCTTAGCATGTTATATACCCTGTTATAGTGTCCTTTTTTAAGACCATTACATAAATTAAACACATTCTTTTTAGGCAGTAATGGAATAGTTAAGTGTTTTATACCACTAACAAACATG